CAAAAAGATTGCCAGAATTCTATGGCATTTGTGTGAAAGTATTTTTTTTTCATTGGGATCAGTGAATATAAGAAGTTTTGATGCATTATTGATTGATTATGTGCCATCAAGTCAGTATTGACCCTTAGCAAACCACATAGGTAGACCATTTCCAGGATGATCCCTTTCCAGCCTGGCCCTTCAGGTCTCCCAACAGTACACCTTTGTTAATGTAATCAAGTCTATTCACCTTTCTGCTGCTGCTCTTTTTCTCTTTCCTTCCACCTTTCCCAGCATTATGGACTTCTCAAGATCTTCATATTATATGTGCAAAATATAATAATTAGAGCCTGGTACTTTGTGCCTCAAGTTTATTCTATTCTATGATCCATTTGTTAGGTTTCTTGGTTACCCATGGTATATTCAAGGGTGCTCAAATACTTTTTTTTTATCCTGCTTCTTCAGTGGCCAACTTTTGTGTCATCTGAATATGATTTCCAAGGCCTTCAATTTCATTTTGACAATAAAGCTATTTTAATCTGTTGTGATCTGTAAAATCAGGACTGATAGGGTCTATTCATCTAGTGGTATGCATTTATATAGGATATTATCTGACTTTATTTTAGCCTTAACCATTTTATCAACACTTCCAGACCACTATAACTGTATAAAATGCTCAATGCCATCCTCATTATACTACTCAGTTCAGATCTTTTGTCTAGGAGTTAAAAAAATTTAAGACTAAATCCATAAAGTCATTTTAGTATTAGATGAAATAAGAAATAGTAATGCATTTTCTATGAAGAAAGAGATCTAGAATATTGGCTAATGTGTTTTTGTTTTTAGGAAGCAAAATTTCTGTAGTTTCTCTTACTGCACATTTATTGCATCCTGGTTGTGCATATCAACCAGAGGGTTTGGCTTTATGCTGATAATCCCGTACTAAAAAAATGGGCACTGTCTCGTAACTTATTTTATTTAATAATTCATATTATACACTGTCTTTCCAAATAAAAGTATTGCCGTGGCGGCCCAAAGTCCACAAAAGCATTTCAAAACCAGTATTTTAAAAGTTTGAACTAAGAACCATTTCATGAATTAGAACAACACAGACAACAGCTAAAACAGTAGAAATAAGCTTAGTATTAATTAATGCTATTAAGATTATTATTAAAATTTAATAACCAATATTGCTGCCCAAATAGATGATTGATTGATAGATATAGCAAAGGGGAAAACAAATGAAGATAAAATGAACTAGAAGAGATACCTTGCAGAATGACAATGATTGCTTCATAATTTTCATAAAACATTTTGCTCTCCTAAATTTTTTGGAGTGCCCATCTTAATATTTGAAAATTTCCTAAAGACAATTTTGTTCTTGCTTGAAATTACAAAGAATTTGCAGTTATGTTAAGAAAAACTGATTGATTTCAGTTTGGTTAATTTCACTTCTAATTAAATGGATCAAAACATTTGCTTCAGCAAACCCAAGCAAAATATACAACCCCTATATTTTTGGAGTAACTTCAGAATTCTGCTTTACAATACTTTCAAAGATTCAGACTCCATTTTCTCTACTTCTGCAAGTTCTGAAAGATAAGATTTTATGTAAATAAATCTGTTTGTATAAATAAGTCTGCTAGCATGTGAGAATGAAGAACATAGAATCTGGCTTTAGAAACTGAATGTATTTCACTTATTATGGCAAGTTGAATATTGCCATATTTTTTCCTGAATATTGCCTGAATATTATTATATGGAGAAATGGCTGATTTGAGCAAGTAGTTTCAAGTTCCTTATATAAGTTAGACATCTAGAATAATGTCTATGATATCGTTACGGACATGGCCGGATAGAAGATTCTTGGTTATTCTGGTTGCCACCATCTTAATCCAATATTCTTGAAAAATCACAGTTTGTACAATTGATTACAATTGTACAACTAAAACACTATTCAAATTATGCAAAGAAATTTCGCACACTCCACAAGATTTTCCCCCGTTATGCCTGTGACATCTGATGGAAGTACATAAAATGTTGAGGTTTGTGTTTAGAAGGTCTTCTCATGTAAAATATATCCGCATTGGCTTCCAAACCACCTTAAACTCTATGCTTTCAATTATTATGTTGGTTTTTATTATCTACCTCCCTCCCTCTTTATTTGTTATGTTACCATTGTTTATACTAATTAATTTTGAAGTGTAACAGTTCAAATAAGCAATTCATTTCAACACTGTTAATAATAGAATATTTATTTAATTACTAAGGCTTCAATGCTGCTAAATTCCGATAGGCTCTAAAGTGACTTACAGAACATCAAAATATAGGATCAAAGTATCCAACACATAAAACACCAACCAGACCTGACAATGTCACCCATGGAGGTAGATTAAATCTCTGCTTTCCCAAATGCATTCCTAAGCAGCCAAATCTTCACAGCAATTTGGAAGCCCAGTAAGGTAGAAAAGAGTTAGATATCCAGGGATAAGCTCTTCCATAGAAAGGGGGCTATCACCAAGAAGGCTTACCCCTGGGGTCCCTGAAAATGGTGTTCCCTCAAAAGCATTCTCAGCAAACATTCTCTTCTGATCTTTCTGGGCATGCTGAGTTAATCTGGAACATGCAGTTTTGTAGGCATCCAGGTCCAAGCCATAAAGGGCTTTCAAGCAACAACCATTGGTCTGAATTAAATCCAAAAGCTGGTTAGCAGCCAACACAGTTCCTAAAGTAATGGTCTTACATGATCAAACAGTAGGCTTTCAGATCCATAGCCACTCTGTTTTACTAGGGTTCAGAGTCTGGTTTTCCCCATTCAGACCCTCACCTGGTCAGAACTTCCCCCGCAACATCTGTTTGACCAGAGGTAGAGATGTATAACTGAGTGTCATCTGCATATTGGTGATACTCCACCCTATAATCTCTCCCATTGGTTTCATGTAGATACCATAGTCAATGGCATTGAAAGCCATCAAGAGATCCAGCGGGAGGATTAGGTTCCCCTTATTCCAGTCACAGGTTACCTATGAAAGCAACCAATGCAATTTCTGCCCTGTATCCAGGCTTGAATCCCAACTGATTAGGGTCCATAATCCATTTCCTCCAGGTATCTCTATTGTTGCTGGTTAGCCACCTTCTCAACATGTGCACAAAGAAGGAAGGTTGTAGATTGGGTAGTAGTTGTGTAAAATAGCTGGGTCAAGTAATGGCTTCTTGGAAGGGGGATACATGATCTCCTTTTTCAAGAAGCCAGATACCCCTTCTTCAAGCATCTATTCACCACTGCCTGAATCCAGCCTCCTGTCACCTTCCTGGCAGCTTTTACGAGTCTGGTAGAACAAGAATCAAGTTCACGGGTAACTAGACAATGGCAGAGAATACTTGTCCATTTCTTCAGGGTCTTCCAGCTCAAATTGATCCCAGATAATCCCATGCTAGATCAAGGCCCACTCATCTTAGTAGGACCTGACTAATGGGAGTCAACTCTGAGAGGTTATGAATTATTTTACCTTCAGAAGTTGAATGAATTCTCAATAGCAGTCCAGTAGCAATTTTCGGATCCAGACTTACTTAGGAAAGATTGGAACAAAGTTGTTGGGACGCTATCCATGGATGTATTGGAGAGTGGGGAAGTAAACTAGCTTTGCTGCTTTTGCCACCATAGCTCAGTCAGACTGTTCTTTTACACCAGCATTACTATGGCACCTCTTCTGGCACTTCGTCTTTCAGAGCTCTTTAGTAAACCAAGGGGCCCTTTTGGATTGACAGACATCTTGCATTAATTATAAAATAAAGACAGTCAGTCATAAAACACAGTATCATTTGATATTATTAATCATTTCTTTATAACACACATAATAAAATCAGCAACCAGGTTCTCAGAAGTGCCTGGCCCTGTACAAGAAATAATAAATCCAATTTTTCATAACCTTAAGCAGATGATCTTTCTCATTCTCATTCTCATTCTCACACCCCACTTCTGGTATGGTATACAAAAGCAGGCAGTAGTAGCCAAATGTGTGATATATCTGTTTAATTCCCCCTGCCCATTTTATTGATATGTTTTCTCAGTAAGAATGGATGCCGCTTGTTTTAATGGTCTGTGATGTCTATTCCTGAAAACTTCCCTAAACAAATTAATTCAGCTACTGGTTTATATCACCAGTATTATAGATTATAGATCTTAGCAAGTATAGCCATTTTTCTAGAGCTTTGGAGCAACACATATGTAGAGGAGTACTGCTATACTCTATTTAATTAAAATTATTAAAATATTAATAACACTTTTAAAAAAAATAAAGGAAACTAACTGCAAGCTCATCGTCTGAGAACAGAGGAACTTTCTTGAATAAGTAGTAAGCTTTATAAGCTTTGTTGTCACCAAATCCCTATGTATAATATACATTTCAGGAATAGCTTGTATCTCCTTGGATGAAGAGAGAGACGTGTATCTAATTGAAAACTCTCTGAAAGTGCTATATAAATACTATGGCTTGATAATAGGGTTGGTAGCTATAATGAACTAGCCTATTATATTCATCATCATTTATTACCTCTCTGTACCTACCTATTTTCTGTTGGCCATTTTAGTTGATTGGGACAGAACATATTGGAATTGTTACTTGGCAACACGTTGAAAAGTATCCCTGTTAATTTGGACTAGTGCTTTATTAGAGGCTGAAACTCAGCTCTGTGTGATCTTCCAGCAAATGTAGTTAAGAGCACTAAAGCAAAAGCACCAAACCTTAAATCTAAAATGTGCAATATTCAAAACATGTGTTCTGCTGGTTGAATTTCAGATACCTTAATACTATACAATTGTCCTCCCACCGCGAGATGGAAAAATATTTCTTTGAATAAGTCTTCCTTTATTAGCTTAATTACTACTTCCCATTTGCAAGGAAATTATGCTTTTTGAAAGCAATCAAAAAGGAAATGCACCCTGTTTGAAAGACAATGCAAGAGAGAGGCATTTGTATCATACAATGATCTGAATCAAGTTATGTGTTGTGTCCCTCTAGGTTCTGAACAGACGATGCGTAGAAGCAGCAGTGTCAACAGGCCTTGCACTGAACTGCACCATAAACAAGAAGTCCTTGTTTGACAGAAAACACTATTTCTATGCAGATCTGCCTGTAAGTATATATCAGGCTTTGTCCTTGACGAATTGGAAGCGGGACATGCGTGAAGAACAGATGGGGGACAGGCCAACAAAAGAGAAGCTTTGTTTTTCTCAGCCATTGTTTACCCGTCCAAGCTGGATGCAGCCCTGCATTCGGATGAATGGGCAGCTGCAGCCAGGAGTTTGCTGATGGACGTGATTGTCCTGATGGCTGCGCTTCATGCTTTCAGGGCTCTGGGAGTAAGTGAACTGGGGAAGGCACAGCTAGGACCAGCCTTCCTTTATTCTCATTAATAGCCTGTTAGGATTAAGACAAACAGTACTAATCTTTTCAAATGAATGTATTACAGACACATATCAGGGTCCCAGTAACATCACAAGAGCTTATTGTCATTACTTCTGAGGATTTCACAGTGTTTTGATTTCAATTTGTTCAGAACTCTAAAGCAAATAAAGGGAAACTAAAAACAGTAATATCTATGGTATTAGAAATTCTGCTTCTCTTAAGTCAGACTTGTTTGGAATTGGGCTTGGCTTGTTACATCTGACAGTGAAGCTGACCATTCAAATCCATCAGAAAGACAGGATTCATCATTTTAATATTTAAATAAGGATCTTGCATTTCTGCTTGTTGAATAACAGCTTCCCTTGTCCTCCCAGTATGATGATTGATGGAGAAGGCTGCCCTAGGATCACACTGTATCCTTGTAAAAACACTGTGAGATAGATTATTAAGATATATGATAGGTTGACAAAGATCACTGAGGTTTAAATTGACTATGCTGTGTAAGATCTGCAGTCAGATTGGCGTTCTTCAGACAGATCTTAAACTGTTAGGAAGAGGGAGAGAGGGAAAGGTATGTTACTTTCTTTTTAAATTTTTTATTACATTTCAGAACATTACACTTTCTTTTAAAAAGCTCAGTAGTCTGTAGTATTGTATATTGTTGTTGTTGTTTAGTCGTTAAGTCGTGTCCGACTCTTCGTGTATATATTGTATATATCGTGTATATATATATTGTATATAAACAATACTAAATACTAAATAGCAGTATAACTGTATTAATATTATATGAAAATTATATAATGTTTTAAAAAGCCGGTTATACAACAAAAAGCTCCACAGTGTGAAGAGAAACAAGAAAGAGAAAACTAAATTACCTAGGGAAGAAAAAGAAAGAGTTCAACCTCTCTTCCCTTGTTAATGTCATTTGAAACTCATTGAATGAATGAAAATCATGGTATTGTTTTGGAATACCTGCAAGGGCGAGGGTTATAGATACTGTTTTATAGTATCTTCACTATAAACTCCACTATAGTATTTTATAGTAGTTTCATTCATTCAGTGAATGAAACTACTATAAAATACTATAGTGGAGTTTATAGTGAAGATACTATAAAACAGTATCTACAACCCTCACCCTTGCAGGTATTCCAAAACAATACCATGATTTATAATATTGAAGCAATGTAAAGATAGATGCACTCCCCTTATCTAAGTCCTGACCGAGATCATCCACATGTGGTTTCCCTCCTGTGCCTAGGCCTGAATTCCAACCAGATGATTCACCTAGGGTCCTGTGTAACTACTGTATCATCACCTTCCCATCAACCTTCCCTAAGAAGGAGAGACTGTAGATGGGCCAATAGTTGTCCATATTGACAACTATCCGTGGCTTCTTGAGGAGAGGAAGAACCAGTCTCTTTCACGTGTTGTGGCATCACCATTCAAAGGGAATTCAGAGCTGCCAGAAACAAGTCCCTGATTCCCCATAGTGGCAGCTCATACCAGAAAACTCAGATGGAAATGCACAGGTCAGAGCCCATAGGTGGCAGAACTCATCAGGAAACCCGGTGTCAAGGGAGCCAAATGATGAAAGCAGCGTTGCACCATTGCAGTGTGAGCTCTGATCCTTTTGTACATTTACCATGAAGTTGCATGTACATATGAAAAGGGTGGATCTTGTGTCATAATGTGGTGGCACTGATTGTGTCATTTTGGCAAAAGCATCCAATCTTGCATTTTCTCGGGCACCAACTGCCCATATTCGAGAGCTTCCAGCATACTTACTCTCTGGTTTTCAGTACATCAGTGTCCCACAGTAGCACCCCTACTAGTTTGCTTTCTAGTAAATGGCTGCTTTTTGTTTGGTCAAAACCACCACAGTAGCCATTCTGCAAATAGGAAACCTCTTAATGCTGGCAATTTTGTGAGACAATCCGTGACACTCTCTGAAAATGTAGATGTGCTGTTTGGCTCAAAATGTTTCTCCAGTGCAGATGGTAGGACACTAACCAGTGGGATCAAATTACATGAAAAAAAGATTTTAGCTTAAAATTCAGATTAACTACTGGATGATGTGAACTGTTTTGACATGCTATTCTTCATTAAGCAGCAGCCAAATAGGCATCTTTAATAGAGATTTTTTGCATTGTAAGGGCTTGGAACAGATTGCTCTGAAGATCAGTTCCAGCTTTTTTCTAATCATAGGCAAATGTACCATATCCCCTGACCTATAGCTTGTTGAACATCAAATACAAAATGCCACTTTGTAATGAAGGAAATGAGGCAATCAAGCAGTGATGAGCTTTTGGGCTGAATGGCCATGGTCTAGTTTTCTGCTGTCCTGACATTTCACCAGCAGTTGTGGCTGCCATCTTCAGAGGTGGACTAGCTGCTTTGTGATATAATTCTTGGCAACCTGCAGGCAACTGAACAGGTGTTGTCTGGGCTCTTGTATTTGAACCTGATCTCTGACTGGTCTGTGTCACAAGAGTCCAAGAAAGCTGGTTCCTGATTGGTCCTCATCTAAGTAGACTTCTGACTGGTCTATTTTAAAGAAATTCTATGAGAACCGAGTCCTGATTGGCCCATCCTTGAGCTAGATTATTGCTAGGTGTTTTTTCTGGTGAGGCTTCTACAGATTCTTTTTGTTGTTGATTACAGGTAGTCCTCACTTATGAATGCAGTTGGGACCAGAATTTAGGTCGCTAAGTGATGTGGCCATTAAGTGAATCATCATGTGACCAGACCCGATTTTAAACCTTTTTTGAGGTGAATAAAGTGAACCACAGTCATTAAGTGAATAATGTGGTTGTTAAGTGAATCACATGGTTAAGTGAATCATGTGTTTCCACATTGATCTTGCTTGCCAGAACCTGGCTGGGAAGGTCACAAATGACGATCATGTGACCCTGGGACGCTGCCACCATTGTAAGTGCGAGCTGGTTGCCAAGCACCCAGATTGCAATCACATGACCATGGGGGCACTGTGACGGTTGTAACTTTGGGCACCGGTCATAAGTCACTTTTTTTAGCGCTGTTGTAACTTCAAACGGTCGCTAAATGAACAGTTGTTAAGTGAGGACTATCTGTAATTAAGAGCTGTTTGGTCTTAGTGTGGCATAAAGCTGGGATCCATGCTCTGATAATTTTCAAACTCCCTTCCTTCCTCCTGAAGTTGTGGGCTATTGAGATTATCAATAGCCTCTCTGTGTGGTTGCAAATGATTGTTTGACATGGTTGTCAATACTTATGTGTCTTCAAATTGAACCTTATGTTCAATATGAAGCAGCTCATGTTTTGCTACTGCTGATATTTCAGGTTGTCCTAGACGTCAATGCCTTTTGTGTTCTTTTAATTGAGTATTAAAACTGCATTTTGTGGTTTCAATATACACCTGCCCACAACTGCAGGGGATGTGGTAGACCCCTGATAATGAGAGTGGGTTTCTGCCATCCATGGGTGATTGAATGATGTCTTGAATCTTTTTTGTTGGCTTGTAGACTGTTTTAGGTTGTGTTTCTCTAATCATTTTCCAATACATTCTCTAACTTTCTCAATATAGGGAGAAACACATTTCCTGTTGGAGGTGGTTTGTGTTTGTTCGTTTATTGTTATTAAGTTGCATTGTCTATCTGATCTCATCAGCAGAATATCCATTAGCTTGTAGAGCATTATCATGATATCTCAACTCATCTGCTAATCTTTTGGGCTTACAGATGTGTCTGACATAGTCATTAAGAGTTTTGATTATGCTTTTCTTCTAACGGGGGTGATGGTTGGAACTTTTATGTAGATAGTGATCTCTGTGTGTTGGTTTTGAATATACTGTACATCCTAGTTGTTGATTTCCGTTCCAAGTGATCAGAACGTCCAAGAATGCAAGTTTGCCATCCTTTTCTTCTTCCATCATAACATGAGTATTAGGGTTGATGCTATTCAGATGTTCTAGGAATTTCTTGAGCTCTTCTTCACCATGACTCCAGATAATGAAAGTGTCATCCACATGCCAGAACCACGTAGATGGCTTTAAGAGTGCAGTGTCCAATGTCCTTTGTTCAAATTTCTCCATGTAGAAATTGTCTATGACTGGGCTCAGTGGGTTAGTGTACGACACCCCTTATCTATTAGCAGAATAATGATGTTCTCTTCCGCACTGAGATTCTTTAAGATGCAAGTCTCCTTCATTGTCAAGTCGCTGCTGGGAGGACAGGATTTTTGAAAATTTTACAAATTTGTTAAATTTGTATGCCATCTGATATCTGATTCCTTCTGCAGTATCATTCGGAAGGTTTCAAATAGTTGCTTTGATATTTGAGATGATATCCTCAATAGGCATCACTGAAGATACAACTGTGAAGTTGCCACCTTGTCTGTATGGGCTCACTCTGCTTCTGAAGATATCAGCCATAGCTGCCAGCAAAACGTCAGGACATCAGAAAACTAGATCACTGCTTAATTGATGCCAGCAGTGAAAGTCTACCCCAGTAAAATGAGGCAATGTCTGCCACATTTTATTTATTTATTATATTTATAATAAATTTATAAACTTAAATAATAAATTTATCATAAATATAATATATTTATTATATTGGCAGTATCCAGACTAGTTGAAGGAGAGAGTTAACAAGTAGGAAGGAGAGCTTAACTTTTTTGCCAATTAGATGTCTCATGCAAGTATCACTCCCTCAGGTTATTATTCCCATATAGTTTTTCTGTAGTCTGCAGGCATTTAATACAACAGCATTGTCACAATAGCCTGTAGTAATATATTTATGTATGACAAATTACATTGGAAGGCTGAATGTGAACATTGGAACTTTAATAGAAAATGAAATTCTGTTATTCACTGTTACCCATATTCTGTTTTTATTTTTTAATCTTTTCAATAGGAAGTACCTTGGGGGAAGAGGGTGGTCAGAATGGAAAGATTACATGCAGCCTACTGTGTGTATGACATTTGACGGTAATGGTTAACAAGAAGGAAGAGTCTGTGTGTTAAAATGCAAAGATGATCAGCTTTCATTTAAAAGAACTATCTGTTAAAATTTAAATGCAGGCTGGATATCAGATCACTCAGCACAGGATTCCCATTGCGGTGAACGGCTGCTTGTCATACTTCATGCAAGCAGGTAAAAATCAGAATGAAATAGTAACCAAGACTGTGAGGATCAAGCAGATCCAGCTGGAGCAAGACAGTGGAAAGAGCCTTCATGATGATTTTAGAAACCAAACACTTATTGATCTCAACAGAGCAGGTATGTCTGAAATATTTTTATGCAGGTAACTATTACAGGCAACAAGTATTTCAAAGGTTTCAAAGAAATACCTGACTGCATCATCCATGCTTAAAGTTTCTAGAGAAACTCATGACTGTATCACAGTTCACTTAATGTTTTGTAAAAAAAGTTTGGAAGCCTGACCCATTTCATTTCATTTTCTATTTATACACAAACACAGATGCTTTTCTGGTAGCCAGAATTTCCAGGCTGGAAAAAAAGAAATGGGACCCAGCTGGAAAATGGTTTTAAAAAATTCCAAAAAATGGAATGTTTTGCTGGCATTTTCCAAATGCAATGAGCTGCAACTCTCCTTTGATCAGACTGCCTTGGAATACATATGGGTATCATCAGGTGGGAAAAAACTGATCTAACTAGATGTTTGAGCACAAAAATCTTCACTTTTCTTCCCACACAGAGATCTGTTTTCTGTATCAGGTATTCAGGGACCAGGAGATTTGCTAGAGATAGGACATTTCTTGTGGATTTGTGTGTTGACACTACATTTCAAAGGTCAGAGGCCACATTCCTCTGTTTGCTACCAAATTTCAGGACAGCCTTTTACAGCTAGTTATGAGCACCCCGCATTTCAGTGGGGAACTTTAGACATAGCTTCTCTCTTTATATTGATGAGATATGAGTTTATGTAAGACAGAATGACAGCTCTGCTGATACACCAGTTTTGACTGTGATTAAATAATAAATGATTCTGACTTTCCTCGCATAAAAGCTAGAGCAGTTTCAAGTACGCTCAACATTTATGTCTGAACTGATACACTGAGATGAAAAAGCTGCTGTTTTTAATCTTTTCTTTTCTCTGGTAGGAATCGGCCTCATGGAGCTTGTCATGGAGCCAGATATGTGTTGTGGGGAAGAGGCAGCGGCAGCGGTGAGAGAGCTTCAGCTTATCCTGCGGGCTCTTGGGAGCAGCCAAGCAAACATGGCAGGTAGGGGACCTGCAAGGCATATTTTTCCTTTCTGAACTGTGATGCCTGAAGAAAGGCATGTTCACAGCGTCTTTCTTTGCCTTGCAACTACTTATCATTTAGCATTGTTGGGCTGCCTTTTTGTTGGAGTTTCTATTTTCTCCTTCATAAAATGTTCTGATGATGTGTATGGTACTCATACCTTAGGTGTCTTGGAGAGGCCCAGCTACCCCTGATTCAGCTCAGATATTTCTATACTGCTAGGCCTTTTGAAATTGTGCATGATAAACCTGAGTGGGAACAGAATGATTGATGGCTCCTGGGCAGACTTTTCTTTCACTGCCAGATTAGTTTCCCACGATATTGCTATGATACAAATTCTTTGGGACAGTACTAATTGTAACCTGACTAATAATTTCTAGTTTTATACTGCTAGCTGCAAGGGATCCTGGGAATGTTGCAAAATGGAAATATTTGGGATTCAGCTTAAAGTAAATATCTGATAGCAAGTTTGTTGATATTTTTAATTGAATACTGTATTGTCATGAAACAAAGACTGTTTTTCCCCCAGATAATTTATCCTTAAAATTGGCAGCACCCCCATCCCCCCAAGTCCTGTTATGCTGCTTCATTGTGGTGATGGTGGGAATTGCTATTGGAAGGGATGAATAAAGAATACCAGGAACATACACCAGAATGGTGTACTTCCATCAGGGTCATGCCAATTGCCCAGCTAAAGCAAGCATGCACCTATATCAGGCAGCATGGATATAGGAATTTGCTATAGGTAAGTGGTTATTTAGTGACAATAATGGCATTATTTCATACTGTACAATATATAAATGATATGACAGTAATAAACCACTCCTGTATTTTATCAAGAAAATCACATGGATGTCGATATAGTGCCAGGGGATGGGCCCATCAAGTCAGATGCTACAGAGAAAGAAATGAGGTTCTAATGGTATTTATAATGTGGCTAGATTAAAGCCTCCTGGAGGTCTAGTAGCTGATGTTGCCATGCAGGAAAAGACAATCAAAAGCTGCAGAGAAATAATTGCAGTAGAAATATGGAACATAAGCATGAACATAGGAAAGCTCATCACAGTGAAAGATGAAATGAATCAATTACATATTATCATATTCAGTATCAGCAAACTGAAATGGACTAGAATTGTCCATTTAGGACAGGTATTCCCAGGTAGGAATTTATTCTAGACATTGAAGCATATTCCCATAGCTTGGTTAACCATTCTTTCAGTGAAGGGATCAGACATCCTTTCCAGTAAGAAGCATATAATCTCCTTGCAGCAGTTATCCTATATAGAGCTCATTCAGAGTGTATTGAGGGATATGTGGGTTAACAAAGTTTAATAGGAATATTGGAGGTTAAAATGGGAATTCAATTTGTTTCATACTGGTGACAATCATTTTCCAGAAATGTTGATCTTCATGGCATTGCCCCTAAATATGTTAAAAAAAAAAAATCAGTCAGAAGATCACACTGCTTACTACTTAGGACATGAGAAAAAAAGGAAATGGCATTGCTTGCATAATTAGGAAGGAGATAGCAAAAACAGTAGTTGAGTACAAAGTAGTAAAGGACCGAATAATACCAATTAGACTCAGTGGACAAACTTTTAATATGATGGTTGTCCAAGTTTATGCTCCAGCCTCTGATGCAGAAGAAGAGAAAGTCAAGTTCAATCTGAAATTGAAAGAATGTGCATACAAAATGTGCTGCTTATAGTGAGAGACTGGAATGAAAAAGTTGGAAATTGTTATGAGAAAAACTTTATTGGACTTGTATGACTTAGGAAAAAGAAATGAAGCAGGAGACAGCATACCACTTTCTGCCTGCCAATTATTTTTTCATTGCTAACACATTCTTCAACAAAAGTGATTCAATTTCACCAAAAAATGTGAAAACAACAGCCGAAGTTCAAGAAATAGAAGAAATCAAACTGGATATCAGAACAAATAGTGGAAATTGCCAAACAACAGCTATATACATGGACATCACCAGATGGATCACACATAAATCAAATTGACTTTATTATAGTTGCATGGAGGTAGAACAGCTTAGTTAAAACAGTAAAGATGTGGCCAGCGCTGACTTTGAAACAGATCACAAATGGCTCGTGTGCAAACTCCAAGTCAAGCTAAAGTGGAAGAACAACGCCAGTATCCATGAAATGATCTGAAGCATCAGGAATTGCTTTGAGGTCCTGATCTCATTGATGGGAAATCAGAGGAACTATGAAATAAAATGAAATAAGTTGTTAAGAATGAATGTGAAAAGAGACTGGCAAATACTAAGAAACAAAAGAAAGCAAACTGGATGTCACAATACATGATGCAAATTGCCAAGAGTAGAAGAAAACCCAAAGCAAAGAATGACAAAGGTGTCAGGAGGAGACTTAACAAGAATTTGAGAGACCTGTTAAAAGAGACAAGAACAGTATTACGATGACATCTGTATAGAACAGTGTTTTTCAACCTTGCCGAGTTTAAGATGGGTCGACTTCAACTCCCAGAATTGGCTGGCTGGGGAATTCTGGGAGTTCAAGTCCACCCATCTTAAACTCGGCAAGGTTGAGGAACACTGGTATAGGCACTGAATATGGACACAGGCACAGAAAAACAAGGAAAACCTTCCAAAAGATTTCCAAACTCAGAAGAAGATCCCAATCTTGAATTGGTATATCAAAGAATACTAGTGGACAGATAATTGATTTGTAGAAAATCAAATGAAGATGGAATGAGTATACTGAAATTCTATATAGTAGGAATGTCAGCGTCCAAGCTACCTTAAAAGATATTCCATGTTTACAAGAACTCTATTATGCAAGTAGTATAGTATGTATTAATTGCCTATTAATCTGCCTAGAACACATGAACAGTTCTGTGAAAAGAACCACTTTCCACTTTCACTTTTTACATTTGTCAGCTGCAAAAAATATCTCTGCAACTACTTGTTTTCAGGGTTTCATGTGGCTCTTACTGTAACATGAAGAAAGTCTGAGTAAACAAATGGCAGAATGTGATGCTTGTTTCATTTATTTCATAGTAATCAAACATGCAGTGTGCTGTTTTGAAAAGGCAATTGCCCCTTTCGACTGTTTACAGGAAAACAGGAAATCAAGAAAGTGGCAACTGCTCTTTTAAAGATGGTAATACTTCAAAGTAATCTAGATGCAGGTCTCTATATGCTGTTATAGTTTTATGTGCTGTCTACACACTCTCTTTCTCATTAAGGTTGAAGAGAAAATCCTGAATTTTCCTCAGCCATGGAGCTGACAGGATACTTTAAGCTAGGAACTTTCTTTCATTGCAGGACTGTTGTTGTATTGCCAAGGAAACATGGGAGAAGAGTGTGTTCTATGTGTCTCTTTGAATTTTTGGTGGAAAGGCAGAATGTATATCTAAAGAATAAATAAATAAACTGTGAATAGTCAATGAATTCACACTTTGTGAATTGACTCTTTACTGACCTTTCCTCTTTCCCTTATTTTCTTATTGTGGTGTATGGCAACACAATTTACAAAAGCAACAATAATCACATAGAAGTAAGGTCTTTATATCCCTGAACAGTGGGCTGACTATAAGGTGCTATCCTTTCCTCTTATCTATAAGTAACAGAAAAAAACCCCTTGATTAGAATGTTTCTAATTCTAATACACTCTTAGGGGAGTGTTACACATTTACATGAACAATAGTGAAGACACAAAAAACAAGTAATCAGTTTTTTAAAAAAAACAGCATACAAGGCGTTTTCCCCACTACATCGTACTTGATAAAGACAGTTTCTTGAAACATATCCTGGTCAGGAACATCAGAAAGAAAACACCGGTAGCAGTTTTTAAAAAATTATTGTTGTTGTTTTTGTGCAAGTTTCAGCATTTTTTTTCTTCTTGTTGTAGTAATTTACACAAAGTCTTCAATTACTGACTTCCTAACTCCAGATGCTATAGCGCAGTTGCCAAAATTTCTTTATATACATTGTTCCTGCTTCACGGGTAATATCAATTGCTTTTGAAAATGGTTATTTAGAAAAGCAATCTTTTGGGCAGAAGCTTTAGCAGAAATACTCTTTGTGATTATTACTTTTAGTTTTGCAAGCTCTCTTGAAAAAAGATGTGCATAGGGGGTGTGCCATGAATCTGAACCCATACAATGAGTTCTGCAGTAAAAGCACTGGCATTTGCCTGCAAGGCTACCATGCAGCTTGCGCTCTTTGATTTTCTGGCCTGGTATAGATAGTGTTTTCTCCACAATGAACTGGATTCAGTCATTTCATTTTTCAGCTGGTCGTACACAGTTTGTTTATCTGTAGCTTTTCTATTATCTAAGCTGTGTCTCATCCAGTATGAGTTTATCTATTCTTATCTTACATTAGTGACAAAAGCTACTTTTTGCTATTCACCCTTTCCTAGCAACCACCTACTGTGTGACAAGTTCAGGGCCATAACTGCATTGAAAGTAATCAAAACAGGTGAAGGCACTACAAGAGAGTACTGGATACTTGATTATCATATGCTGTCCTTGAGTTTGCGAGAAGCATTAGTAGGAAAGTTAGCAGGTAGTTGCTGCCTCCAAGAGGTCAACTAAAGTCGATTAAATATGACGCTAAAGGCATAAATTGCCAAATGGCATGCTTTAATTTATCTTTGCAGACTTCAGTTGTTTGATGCATGCTTGATCTAGCAAAAACAAAATATAGTGGTTAGCTCAAAGTTACAAATGCATCATGGCTTAAGAGTTCTGGTAACAAGAGACTTCAGTCTGCATAGGAAACAGGACCAGAACAAACGTGAACAGACATTTAATGGAGTGCCAATAATTTTCTGTACTTGGTAATTCCATGATTGTTCCATGAAATTTTCACTTGAACATAAATTATGACATCTTCCTAGCAAATTTAAGATTTGCTTTCTTTCTTTCTCTCTCTCTTTATGTTAATAGTGCTTGATATTTGAGAATATACCAGAAGATTGGAAGCTGTTAGATAGAAATAAATGAGATCCATAATTTAATTATTAATGAAACCCCAAATAAAGAGTTAGTCTTTGTTTTGATATGTTGTTTTCTTGTCCAGTGTTACTCAACAATTCTACAGAAAAGTATAGAAAGGGAATACTTGTATTTTGGAAAGTACCCTCAATATGACATATCACAAGCTGGATGCTTAAGTTTTATTTTTTATAAATGGAATATATATGGTGTTTATCCTGTTGAGTAAATACTTACTTCGGTTTACATAGCAATAACTTATAACTTAACAAATAAGGACAGTCTGAAATGCCCTCCCCTTTCATTCCCCCACATTACTGGTGCACAATTTATTGAGCATATTTTATATTGCTTTATCAGTTTGATTTCTATATTCTTAGATGCCTGTTCTAAGTGGGAAACCAAAGAAATATACATCTGAAAACAATTTTCTGGAGCCTGCCTCAAATCCTTCCTTTAGTGCCTGATTGTTCTATCAGTTTATTTGGAAATCTGTATTAGCTTTTGGCTGTTAGGAAGGATTTTAAATTGTATTTGTTGCAAAGATTATAATTCCTTGAGGGGAAACAAAATGGGTTTCTGTTACCTGTCCTTGAGCTATAAATTTTCAAGGACACTTGAGTAAATCTGTTTGAACTGCTGTTGGCTTTGTGATAGAGCTCTACGAAGCCCTCAAATGATAGTTTCATACAATCAAAATCCTTGACAAAGCCTTCTTTAGTCTTCTAGTTTAGTTGTTTCACTTTTTGTCTTCTGGATATTTGTTCAGAACTGTGTTGTCTTTATAAATGATAGTACTGATAAAATACTGTTTATTATTGTCAACGATCAACTTACAACAAAAATGAAACATGCATACAATGCAAAAGTGTAATAAAAGTTCTACAATAATATTTGCAGCCAATGTGTAGATGCACATACATAGGTGCAAAATTTAGCAACTCTCCAGATAGCCATCAGCTAATATGTAACATAGATAGTAATCAGGCTCACTGCCTGGAACTCTAAAGAATAGAATAAATCAGCAGGACTACCAATTCTTGTAAAATGAGCAGTAAAACATTATATGAGTTAGAGTTTCAGCAATGCCAGACCTGTACAGGGTTATAGGCTCTGTAAAATAGGCATGCTATAAAATCTGCCAAAGAGTGTCACAGAGGGCAACATGTCAAACTTTGCCAAAGAAAAGCCCCATTGATTTTTTATAGTGGTAATGTTAGTAAGATAGGAAGCTGGTTACAGTTTATAGAATTGGATTATAGGATTAGGAGAGCATTTTCAGAGCAATATCTGAAAAAAATAGGCACAAAGTAGCTCAGTGCTTAAGCAATTTCCATAATTCTCTCTTTCATGTAGTTATGCAAGGAGTTTGTGTCTAAGCCACAAAACCTTAGCAATTTTCAGAGTCTTTTTTAGAATATGACTGCACAGATCTTATACAACTGTAAATCAAAATGAATTTCGTTCCAGAAGCTTTGAAGTTTTTTCTCAACTGATTGCGGAGGCTTGAAAACAATATAAAGGCTGATTTGTGCATAAATGATGAACCACTTGGGAGCGCTCTCCATCACTATCTTAAGGTGTTCACACTATCTTAAAGTGTGTACAGATGCTACACAGAGAGGCCTCCAGGAAAGCTTCTGGGATGCGTTTCGTTTGACAGAAGTGTAGTAATCCCTTTAAGTTATATATCCATACAATGTTAGGATAGTCATAGAAGTGGAAAGATTGTGGTCCTTGAGATGTTTCTGAACTACAGCTCTCTGGTCAAATTGTCCAGTGATTACATTTTGGGATTATAGCTTAACAATATCTGAAGGGCCATAGGTTTCTCTGGAAGGCCTGAGGAAACACAAGCCTTGGATAATCTTCACATAATCTTTATGACAGTCTTCTATAAATCTTTTGCAAATGGTATAAATTTATTCAACTGCTGATATTTTTCTCAGAAGGCCAGCTGAGAGTAGATGCCAATGTATCTGTACACCGTCCCGGCCAACTTTATGGAGTAAGGACCGAAGTGAAGAATATTAACAGTGCTCGATTTCTTGCAAAGGCGATAGGTAAATGAAACTTTTCTTCCTAATTGAAATATTACCCCAGAAATTTGAAATTCCACACCCAATAAAATCTGTTTGTAGACTTAGGCATTTTATGCTAATACAAACCTATTAAGTCTTTAAGGTGCGTATATAATTTCCTAGCTCTGCATTGTTGATAGACTATAAAAAGTTAACTTTTACATTTCTTTTTTATCCCATCAAATTGTTAGGAAACAGTTATTTATGCAGTCTTGAACACCTAGTTTGAAACAGTGGAAGAATTTTGATAGATGATGGCTGGGAGCAGAACTATATTGCTATCTTCCCTTTTGAGAAGAATTACTTGATCTTACACCCTTGCTGTAAATATCTGCAGTTGCCAGAAAACCATTTAAACTGCACTTAACTGACAGAAATACATACCTACTGTTTTTATTTCTTCTCTTCTGTTCTCTTTTTCATTATTTTAGAAGATCTGTAACAAACTCACACTGTAGGTGCACTTGGATGTCCTGTTACAAACTTGAGTTCTTGATTGGCACTTGATTGGTGTTTTTATTAGTAGTGCCTCTTCTACAACAGGGAAAGTTAAATCTTATTATTTCAGTTAAATAGATATTCAGTCAATTTCTATACTTACATAGCAATTTTTCATTTGCTGAGGATGATGTAAGGAATGCTGGATGACATCAAAAGTATCTCTACAAGGTGGTTGCTTGTTAAGAGAGAGATGTTATAAAAGGGTTATTATGTGTTTGTGAGGAAGCTAGTGAGGCAGGAATCAGTGGTTCCAAGGTCAGACAAAACCAGTATAGTCTGAGCAGATGCTTCCTGATCTCATGGTTGTGAGGAAAACAAACAAATCTCCACTGGCTTGAAAAGGCAGCAGGACAAGACAGAGAATTTAAGCTGTTGAGCATATGTAGGCTTTAAATTCAGTATATCTTGCTTTATTGCATATTATTGTTTTCAGTAGAACAACAAATCTAACATTGTTGTATCTGTGAACTTCTGCTGTAAACAAGTATTTGAATAAGGAGTTATATGCATCATGAGATTTATTTCCGTGCCTAGTGATGACCAGACAGCAAGATCTGCCAACTCTGCAGCAAACCTTTGCTCCCAGCATTAGACGGGGTGACCCTGCACCTTGAGATTAAGGTTAAATTATGGTTACAGATCCTTTTGCAACCCTGCTAATCAAATTACATTGACTTACTCCAGTTTCAGAATTAAGTTGCAACCTACCTGTTAGCCAGACAGTTAGTCTACTCAGTGTCAAATATAGAGTTTACTTGCCTGTGCAAGTTTATGGATGAGAACTTACAGAAAGGCGTTTTATACCTCTTCTCCTCTGCCAACAGCCTGTCTTTTTTGTTAAGCAAAAGAATGGTTCCCTACTATTTCATGATTGTAGGCTTTTGGATTGGTTAGTGCTCCATCAACTATGTGTGGCTGAGTTCACATAATTCACTTTATGTCTCCACTCAGATTTTGCCATTTCAGTTCACCCATAGTTACTACCATAGCTGCTGAACATTTCCTGGTTGTTTTCCATTCCAGAGCCCTCCTGTTTTCTCCAGGAACTTCAAGGTTCTTAGTACTTCCTCAAGGATCAACTGATCATGCCAAGATCTCCTATAAGCATTCTGCTGATTTTCATTGTTAGTCCTATCCCCACTGCCATTGGAAACCACTCTAGCTTTCTACCATATTTCTCCCCTCCACATAATAAAGAAGCTCAGTGCCACGTTTATTGCACAATTCCCTTTAACTGCACAGTTAGTTCAGCCACATCTCCTTCAATAATTCTATTTGCAATATCTTTGCAAGCCAAAGCTCACTGACTGGTTGCATAATCATGCTTCAACACCTGCTAGCATTTATGACTCTGAGGGAAAAGAGAATTGTTGGAGGAAGCAAAGGAACTGAGAAGCAAAGATGAGTGGGGAGTTCCTAACAAGGAAGTAGAAGAGATGGAAATTCCCTTCTGCTGCCTGCTGTCTAGTGTCAGGAGGGGAGGACATAGAGAAGCCAGTAAGAAAGAAGAGATGCCACCAGCTTCAGCCAAAGAAGATATGGAGATTCCCCCTTCCTACTTCTCTTAGTCAGACGGAAAGAGAGAGAAGGATTGAATGGGGGAAGATCTTATCAGCTCCAACTGAGACAAAAATAAAAAAGGAAGGGAGGGGCAAACTGACCTACAGTCACCCAAAACAAGGAGGAGAGACAGGTGGAAGCATGTTACACATACAGACGCAAAATGGCCAAATAAAAGCCTAACAAATAAAGGTGTTGATAAGAATATTTAAGCAATCTGAATCCATATCATGGAAGAATTCAAGAATGGGCTTATAATCAAAATGAAACTCTTTAAACAAGTGTATATATCTCACAGCATTTGAGCATTACAATATAACTTTGTACTCCTCTCTTGCTGATAATTACCCTGATTTTAATAAGGCTTAAAACAGTTATTTTTGTTTTGGCTGATAAAGTAGGTGAGGATATAACAGCTGACCTGACTGTTTGGTTATTTCTTTAAGACTATGAAATACACAGACAGATTGAAGAGCTGGAGAATGGAGGAACCATTCTGAATGAAACTAGAGCCTTTGATTTTAAGCTTGGGTAAGGGGTTTCCTTCCACTTTGATATCTGTGGGAATTATTTATAACTTACTCCAACCATAAATACATAGAAGAGACCAAAAGAAAAATACAATCTCATATGAAAGCAGAAGCAGAATGATTAGCCACACAACACTCTTGTGCTTCTTAGAAATGTGTGCCTTTTGCCTGTTGATATAACCACTGGACTTGTGATGGTCTGGGAAAACCCTTGTAAAGTCATCCATGTAGTTTCAGCCTGTGACAGTCTGGCTTTAGGCATTTGCTGCCACCTCTAGGACTTGCCTTCTCACACGTTGCAAGTTTTGCCACTGCATTGAAAATTAAATATTCTAATTAAGCCAGGATTTTTATTATTTAAATTAATGAGTTATCTCAATGTAATATAGTTACATCTTTAAATTTGATTTACAATATACCAAGATTGTCTTAGGTCAGGACAGTGTACAACCATAGTCAGTTGTACAAGTTTACACAGAACAGATACCAACCACCAAGTTAGCACAATATATTCATCTAGAATTAGTTGCTGTGACTTTTAAATAGTCAACTTATATCTTTAAAGTTTATGTGGCAAAAGAAACCACTCATTGGCAGATCTAGGCCATGTGATATTAAACTCCAAATATTGTGTTAAGAATATGTGAGAGCACTTAAAGTGGGGCAGAATCGCCTATGTAATGACTGGATTTTGTTAGATCCCACACTTATAATTGCCTCTTACTTCTTTTCTGTTTTTAGATGCACTGTAGCAATGAGGGACAAAGAAGGAAAACAGGATTATCGGTAATTTTATTTAATTTTGGTTGCATTCAGCGAAATATGAGTGGAAAGAGACTGATGAGTTATGATTTTCCCACTTGATCAATTCCTTTATTCACCTTAAACACTCCAAGACAGGTTTTCTGAGGATCAGGAAACTCCTGAATGGAGGGTGCTGTGACATGCAAGATTCGAAGAAAAAGAGTCGGGATTTCGAAAATGGACAGAAGTTTCCTGCTTGCAGATATTTTTCTATTTGGTTTTCTGGTATCCCACTTTATTCTCCAGGCATACCTTCTATGCACTTTCCAGGATAGGAGAGAAATAGGATGAGAAGATTAAATTTCTCCATCTCTTCCATCTCATAATTCTGTGGATCAAACCTAGTTATCTAAGCATGACTGCCACTGTTGCTGCCTCTGTTTACTTGCTTATGCATGGTCAAAGACCAAAACAATATAACACAATCATATAAAACCAAAATGGGAAATTGACACAGTAAAAGTCAAACACAGTATAAAGTATCCTAACAGGGATAAACCAACCTGGTAGCATTTCCACATTAAACCTCAGAGCCTCTTACAGTGATTGCAGTAAAACAGAATTTGGCAACTGTCCTAGATATTTACAAAGACCCACCTACTAGCAAGAAAACAGCATTCACCTCTTCAGGTTGACCTAAGCAATTAAGTTAGCAAAGGTGTTATTAATTGAGAATGCCAGGCTTGATACGGAGGATAACACAAGCAATATGGTCTCAACTGCCCCACTCCAACAGGAGCACAGGAATCGGGATGGAATGTTATTACGCCTCTCCTCTACAATCATGGATGACACTATCTGAAGCCTTGCCAGTGAGAGCACTCTTATGAGAGACAGGGAAAATGTTATTAAAGTAATTTGGTAATGTAAAAGATCTATCACTAGCCATTAGCGTCTTGAGGAGCTTTACTCCTGTCTCTCTCTAAATCAAAGTCGAAGACTTGCTGATTTCTCTTCAGTGTAAATCTTTCACTTTTTTCAATAATCTTTTAATTAAGCATATGACAGCCACACCTTCCACAGACTGAAAGTAGTGAGGATAATAGGAAGCAAAACTAGCATGATAAGAAATCCTCTGCCTTTATGGAAATGAAGCTTTGCTTTGTTAATAAACAGTTTATTCTAACAGCAACAAAAGCCTATTGGAAAAGGATAATCTTATGGCAAATCATTAAATAAAATAATTTCAGTCTCATTTGTTGCTGGTCAGTGGCCAGAGCATCACTGTTCATCTCTGACCATTGAATACAGAGAGATATGAACTTTTCATGAATTGATAATTTATTTAATATAAAGAAGCTTACATAAACTGGAAGGAAAAATGTTACTTACTTACTTACTTATTTATTTAGACTAAATTGGATTCACATGATCAGTTGTCGGAGATTTAAGTCTCCCACCTTCTGGTGTCTAGATAGATTCAGAGCTACATAAACAGCAATGTCAGTTTGGATTATTTGAACATCTTTTTGTCTCCTTGCCTATGGTTAAAGGAGGCTGTACTTTCTTATCAACAGTTTTGATGCTTTGCAATAGATTTACTTTGTTTTCTACAGCTAAAGCAATTGCATGCTGCATCTAATGCAGTAACTAATTCTTAAGCTTTCATTTTTCTAAATCACAGGGCATGCTGAAGAGCAGGTTGTGGCTGAATAATATTGCTGCTTACACTGGCTAACTTGGATGCTTTTTTAAAAAAAATGGAGAAAAACACAGAGAAAAAGAATGAATCAAGAAACACCTGTAGTGAATGTCACTTTTTTAAAAAAAATTGTGCTTTTGTTTATTTAAAGTTGAATTTGAAATCGCTGGCTGAAGCAGAAATGTGGCTTCTGTAAGGAAGATATCCCATCTCTTGCAAAGAGAGATGGTAAAGCTTGAATTAAATTTGTAAATCCATCATTT